TCACTCGCAGTATTGTTAAGCCAAGTATTCCCAATCTTGTAATGATGCATTTGGATTCTTCTTCCCAAGTGCAGAACTTGGCATTTGTCCCTATTTGTTTTCAGCTCAACACTCCAACCTATCAAGATCCAACCCTGAACCTTCTTTCTGTCTTCCAGAGTATTAGCTGTGCCACCCAGTTTTGCATCATCTGCAAATCCGATAAGCATTCCCTGCACTTCCTCATCCAAATCATTAATCAAAATGTTGCAGGGCACTGGCCCCTGAAATCTGTGGTGCCCCACTTGTTACCTCTCCCCAGTTTGAGAAGGTGCCATTGATGAGCATCTTTGAGTTTGATTCTGTAGCCAACTGTGGATCCACCTGATTTTTCCATCCAGCCCACTTTTAGCTAGTTAGCTAATCAGGATATCATGGGGCACTTTGTCAAAAACTTTGCTAAAGTCAAGATATATGATGTCCAGTGCATCAGAAAGATTACGGAAGGACGGACAGACGGACAGACAGAAGGAGGGAGACTAGTTCTATTTCTGTTCCACCAGTAGTCAAAGTTCTTAAGGTCATTGACAGCATGAAGCAGAACCTCTTCTAAAGACTTCAGCTGGTGGGAGCAGCCAGCAGCTCGTTTCTCTTTTGACTTCTTTTGGGTGAGGCATGTCCTATTTTTTGTGCAGCCTAAGTAGTCATCCACAGCTGCCAGCTGGGAGACCCCTATCTCTCAGCACAGCACATTCTATGTTGGTGGCAATGCTATTTTGGCAGGTGAGCAACGGCTTTGGGAATTTCGAGCAGCTTATCTTAAATGCAAGGACATTTTAAGGTCTGTTGCAGACCTTAGTTGTGTTGGTGACAATGGTCCCAAGTTTAACAATATGCTTTTTGGGAGGAAGTGATTCTTGGACCCCAAACTGAGCTAAAGAATATGATGAAACATAGAAATATTAAACACTTAGGAATTACAAGCAGTTAATGATAGCTTTTATGGGAGGCAGGATAGGTGTTTAGAAACTGGCAAAGAGAAGGAAAATTCTGGGCATTCATCCAAACAGTGAGGTCCCTTGGAACAAGGACCAGTTTGAGGTGTGAATGTTGAAGTTTAAGAACATGTGCTTTAACTTCATATAAAAACTTTCCCATAAGGCAAATACAAAAATGTTGTCTGTTGTTTTGACATTTTGAGATTTCAGAGGGGAGAGAGAGAGAGAGAGATCATAAAAGAAGCAAAGAATTATTTAAGTGAAGAGATAGTGGAGCAGCACTCTTTTTTCTAAACCCAGAAGGATCAACATCCGTCTCTGGAGCCATGGATAGCAGGTATTAAGCAAGCCTGCGATGTTGAAATGCTGCTTGCAAAATATCTTTGAAGAGTCTTTGAAGCATGGAGATATGTATTGTGAAGTCATTGCTGGGCCCTGAGAATGCAAAGAGCAAGCTATTGCCACAGCCCACCTCTGGTCATTCCTCTTTTTTAAGTCTGGTATTTTGCCCCCAACTTTGATTTTCATGCTTCTGTTTCTTCAACTTTTCCATTAATACTGTTGTTCTTAGTTGGGGTGCTGCCTCAATTTCCTGTTGGTAGGAATAGGAGAAGGATTCTATCGCTAACAAACCAACTTCTCTGCCATAAAATATCTGCAAAGCAAGATAAGAAATGGGTGGAACGAGAACTGATAACTGGTAAAACCTGGGCACCTCAACCCTTGTGACCTACTGGTACAATAAATGCAATATGGAATTTGCTCAAACAAAAAATGAGTGATCAGTGGTTAATCAGTGACCTGCCCATTGGCTGCCGCATACTTTGGCCCAAGCACTTGGGCAAGAGTGTCAATAAAAGAAGTGTTTCTTGGGTCTAAATTTAGTTTTCATATATTTGCCCTCACTATTTAACTGAAAATGAATTCAAATACCTGGTGCCTTCGCAGACAAAGGAGGCCAAAAAGAATACTTGGGGAACACATATTCAGAGAGGAAATGGATAAACAGAAAACAAGAGGGCAATAACAACACTTTCCGAGTGGAAGACATGCTCCTTTGTTGCAGATACATGCACAAGGTTTCATGGCCTACAATTCTATTTATGTTCACACACACACACACACACACACACACACAGAGAGAGAGAGAGAGAGAGAGAGAGAGAGAGAGAGAGAGAGAGAGGATTGTGAACAGTGAGGAGGTCAGAAGGAACTGAAATGCAGAAGGTACAAGCAGTGGTTACCTTAACAGTGGCCATTCACAAAACAGTTGTGATAATCAGCTCAGCGGTGCATGGATACCCAAGTCAGCTCATGTAATTTGGTAAAAGGCCTTTTCCTCTATTCATGCCACAGGAAATAGAGCTGAACCTCTTCGTGACTTGTTATTTGGCTCAACATGAAACAGCTGAACAACAATACATTACAAGGTTCAACCCTTATCTGTTGTGGCTTCAATAGAAACAAAGGGTTATTGTCACACTGCATGTGTTTAGCTGCTCAGCAATGCGGGGCAACCCTGAACTTCGCACTTCCTTTTCTCTATAGCCATTTTGGCCTCACATCTTCCATTCCTCATTGCAGAGGTAGGCATGTCACAAGGGGAGTGTGGAGTCTGAAGGCTTCTGACTGCTTGAGGGAATTTTCTAGTGGAGGAGAGCTTTGTTGTATACTCTGCACTGACAGAAAGATGAACAAGTGGATCCTAGTTCAAATCAAGCCAGAGCTTTCCCTAGTGGCAAAAATGACAAAACTGAGGTTGTCGTACTTTGGGCACATTCTGAGAACACAAAATTCCCTGAAGAAGACAGGCACGCTAGAGAATTGAAGGCTGAAGGAAGACATCTGGATTTTATGTGTACTATTTATATGGTTTTTATTTATTCTATGGAAGCCATCCCGAGGCTCATGCCAATGGGACAGCATACAAAAATTTATTTATTTACAAATAAATAAATAAATAAATAAATAAATAAATAAATAAATAAAATAAGACCAAATAGGAGATGGGCTGAATCTGTAAAAGAAGCCACAGCTTTGAACTTAAAATTCATTCAGTCATTGTTGGAGGTGACTTTGTTAACTGACATAACGAAACTGACAAAACTATTGTGCGCTAGTTTCAATGTGGAATAGGGAAATGCATCAGCCCATTAACACAATTGCTCCTGAATGCCTTTTCTAGCCCCCTGGAACTCATAAGGCTCCCTGGTATTTAGCTACAAGCAATGTAACAGGCCCACTGGCACCTATTTTCTAATAGATGCAAGTTATTAGAAGTAGAGTACTTAAGTGCAATTACTATTCAGTAACATGAAAAATCATTTAAATAGTATTTCACTGCTGCCTGTCACTGGACAGATGCTGTATTCCCCCCCCCCCCTTTAATTTATTCATGGCTCAGTCCTGACAATCTAGGATGACTTTACAAGCATTTGAAACATTAGCTTTGCAAAATAAACAGGAAGGTCTTTTGCAGTTACAAATAGTTAATAAGATGTAAATACAACATTTAGAACATATTTTTACTCATTTCAGATAAGCAGGGATACACCACCTTTTTAGGTCTAATTATCTGCATGCAATGGTGACCTGGGTGTCAACAGTCATGTGTACACGTGTGATGTCTGTCTGTCTGACACACACAGAGGCAATGGTGGCGGCGGCGGCAGCAAGCTACTTAGCCACAAGCTGCCAAGTGCTGGACCTGCTATCATCAGGCTGCACCAGTACACCACTCTGAGGCATCATTTCTCCCAGCTCAGAAGAGTGGCAGGAAACTCAGCCAATCAGATGCTACCCTTGACATCCAGTGACCCAAGAGGATACTAGAACAGCAAACTGGGTCCCTTCAATGATGAGTCCCTTGTTGCTGTATTAACTTTAGGGGTTGTACCCCTAATTGGCTCAATTTGCTGCCACTCTCCCTGACTGGGAAAAATACTTGAAATTAAAATAGTGCATGCATTAAGTGCAGCTTTGGGTTAACAAAGTGCTTTGTAGAGAGCTTCGGCTATTGGGCGGTACAAAAATGAAAAAAATACATTTATACCACACATAAATGCTGTCCCAGCCAGAGGGAAAGAGATGGAGAAGACAAACAAAAAGGAAAGAAGCAGGGATGAAGGCCAAGTTAGTCAGGGAGGCCTGTTAAGGCAGGCCTGGGTGCACACATATGCACACACACACACACACACACACACACACACAGAGCCTGTGCACCCCAACCTAAAAGGTCACCTAAATGAACATCTTCAACAGGGGACTGGCATCTGTGTTATCACAGTTAACAAGTAAGTAGCAAAACATGGGCATTTGCCATTAGGTCTCTAAGAATTATGATTGTGTTACAAATTATAGATTCATAACGATTGCATAAGCCTTGTCATCAGGGCATTGGCCTTTAATGACTTAACGCAAAAAGTGTTTTAGCTAAGAATTATCCAAAATATGCTGTATGCTACAGAACTGAAACATTAGGCTATGGGATCCATAGGATGAGCTGTAACCGTTACGATCTGGATCACTCCTATCTGTGCTTTCAGGTGAAAGGGCTTATGACCAAGAAATACAAGCCTTTTGAATCAACTGCAAACTTGTTACCGTGAAATGCCAAAGGCTAACATAAGCAGCAAACAGAAACAGATTTTACAAGCTCCACTCTGCCTACTCTTCCATCTCAATTTCTATTGTATTTATATACTGGCCATGCTTAGAGACAAAATAGGTTCTACAAAAAACTACAATTGCATTTCCTGTGTCATCAGAGATGAGCAGAATAGCCGCAGAAATCAGCTTGTCAATGAATATAATGTATTATTGGGAATAATTGCCAAGAGGTCTGAGCAAAATTATTTAGGCAATGCATGGTGTAACTGAACACTCCTAACTCAAACAGCAGAATTCGTGACAGATGGCGATTTGAAAATCCTATAAAGATGAATAGAAAAATGGAAAAAAGCTTCCTTTTTACTTGTTTAGTTGCCAAATTAGAGGAATAGGTAATAAGCAGATCAGACCGCATTTGTGAATGGTTTTTATCAATGCACACATAAAATGTATATATTTCCACAGTCAGAAAACTTAACATCTTCAGTCAAAACACTGGTGATGGAAAAAGCAGTTCAAGGAAAAAAGAAGAGATCTGTTAAGTCAACTATTGAAAATGCAAGCAAATAACTAGCATTATCTCCTCACAGTCACTTTGCTAGGAAAGAGCTGAATCTGTATTCATAATTTCAGTTTTAGGCTGAAATTCCATGATTCAGAGGAATGATGTCAAGTTTTAACTTTAAAAATGTTTATAGAACTAAACACACAATGGTCTCCCAAGTCAGTCAAAATAAAGGATACGCAAGAGAGAAAGTGAACAATCAAACTCTTTCAAGATTTCAAGAAATTATTTGGTCTTGGTTATCTTTTGAATGAGCTTTTTCTTTCATCTTTACGCCTATCCTTCTGAAGTGATGAATACTCTGTCATGGCAGTGTCTACTCATCAATACAGTACTTCACTTTCTGAAGACAGAAATCAAAGATTAACATTAAGGCATACACAGCTATGCTGTCTGCTTTTGAAGATTTAGAATCAGTTTACTTGGACTCAAATATGTGGAATGTTGGCACAGAACTAAAGCTGTGGACACAGCTGCCTATCTCACTGATTCTGTGAAGTCCTTGCGACTTGCATTTCCCTAACACACACACATCCTGAAATGGCTTTTCATTATACAAATTGAAAACTGGATAAAACTTCCAAATAATAAGTAACAGGTAAAATAAGGGGGTTGCTTTATTTGTATGTTATAAACAGAATACACTCCTTGTATTATGATGGGGCAGGTCAAAATAACAGCTATAACCTCCAAATTATGCTATTCTCTTTTGTACCTGCTGGAGATGACTTCTTTGCTCTGAACCAGATGGACAGAACAGACTGGATTTCCTAAGTTGGTCAGACACAGAAAAACAAGCTTAAAACCCTAGAGCCAGGTAAGCATTAACTTGAATGCCTTATGAAGGAAATGTTTTCTTCTTAAACAAAAGTTCTAAGAAAAGTCTTACTGCTTTATGAAGCTTAATAACAGTATCTATAGCAGGAACTGAAACATATTTTGTTGTAAGTATCAATCAAATTAACCTACCACAAATAAACTGAGATTTGGTCGTTCAACAAATATAATTTTGAATTATTATTCTGGAAGTGTTCACTTAACTTAAAACATGCACTCTCCCAAAATATGTTTTGTGTTCCTCAGGATGCTTGATGACTGATCCAAACAGATCAAAATATCTACTGATTGACAAGTTGTGAAAGAGATAGCTTTTGTAATTGTATATTAAATTACTTAAAACTGTATCAAGTTAAAACTGTTTTTTCCTGTTTGTAAGACAAATTTGGAACTATGTTATAAAGCTGATTGGCTAAGCTGTATAATTTAGCAAACAAGAAATGACTGTTGTCAAGATGGTGTACCAGCCAACATGGAAAATCCAACTGCCTGCACAATATTCAGTCCCAGACAACAGCTGAATTATGATTGTTCATGTAAAGGCCTAGTGTCTTGCTCCTCCTCTTCATCTTCTTCAGAATCCCCTTCATCTGTTTGCTGGTCAAGTTCCTCTTTTGTGATCATTTCAAAATCATTTCCATTGCCACTACTGTGCTGAGACCGATCATCCTCCCGCCTGTCACTGTCTGTGTCTGAATTCCGCTCTCCTCCAGAACCTTCAGATCCCAAGTTTCCCAGAGGATCTGCTTTACCATCCTCATCTTCCTTTTTCTCACTATCGGACTTCTCTTCACTGTCAGATTTTGGCTGTTTTCTGGACTCAGACTTCTCTTCTTTCCTTGAGTCAGCTTTTGGACCTTTGTACTCATGTGTGTACAGGGGCCTGAAGGAGTCAATGAAGCCAACATCAGCAGTCAGGTTTGGCAAGAACCAGAAATGATGCCTTCCACCAGTTATCAGCCAGATGATAAGGAACAGGATGCATCGGGCTGTGAGAAGAAAATGTTTCAATTTTTTAAACAAGTTATTTACAGAAACAGAGTAACATTTTTAACAACAAATGCCAAATGCCTGAATAGTAAACTGAAGCAAAATCTTGGATAAGTAGGATCATCCAATCGCTGGCATTTAAAGGCAGCAAACACATCTAACAAGCCAGAATCTCCTCACCTCCCTCTTTTTATCTGCTAACAATATTCAGATCTATAGTTTTCAAATACAAGTATATCCCTAATAGAAATCAAAATCAGAAAGCTTTCCTAAGGTAGGCAGAGAGTGAACCATTTATAAGGTCTATAGGTCAAAACCATCACCTTGAATTTTATCTGGGAACCAGTATGGAGCTTCAGCAGATGCAACACATATGGAATGAAACCTGATCCCAGAGAAGCACCATTTGACTCTTTTGGCTACGCTCAGTGTCGCATTTCATTAATCTGCACACGCCAGCCTTGAATAGGAAACATTTCCTTTCCATCTTGTACTTCTCCTCCTACCTCATTGTTTAAAACAATACAGCAGGACCCTTGTATCTGCTGGCTCGGTTACCATGTTTTCAGTTAACCGCAGTTGACCTCAGCCCAAAAGATAAGTCGTAAAGTACCAAAGAAAGCTTTAAAGTGTTGAGGTAAGAATGAACAATAAGTATACAGTTAATCTGAGTTTATTTTGCGGCTTGCTGCCCATGGGTGCCTGCTTGCTGTTATCCATGGTTTCATGTGTCCACCGGGTAACTTGGAACCAAACCACATGGATATGGGGGTCCTGCTATAACATTATTATAGCCATTTCTCCTCAATTTACTACCAAGGGATAGGTTCTTCTAAGAATCTGCCTGCAGTAAGTTGTTTAGCTCAAATATCTCAATTACATAACTAATCAAGAAACTGATGAATTCCTTCCTCAACATACAAACATGGTTACATACAGTGTTTCTTAAGAACCATTGTGCACCTACACACACAGAATACTCCAAATATATTTGTAAGCCATCACTGTAACCCCACAGCAAAACCTTACATGATATGTTTCCTGGGATGTAAATGTCCCTAATTATTAACAACAGGAAAAAGGATAACTTTCTTCCTACTGCAGCAGTAAACCAAAGGAAAATGTGAAGCATCATAGGATTAAAACTAGGAAGAGCTTCAGAAGCAATCAGAAAAAGAGTAGGCACAGTTTTCTACAGAGAATAATGCACTTAGGTTGCCCCATGAGGCAGGAATGGTCAGAGAGCATGCCAGAGTTGCCTCATACAGCCAGAAATCAACCCTGAACAATGCTCATTTGCTGTCAGCTATAGTTCAAATGATACAATGGGGATACGCCATTGCCACCGCAGAAATAATTCTATTGTGTAAGCCTATGGAGAGCTTTGAACCAAGCTATAGCAATAGGATGGGGAAAGGGAGACGAGAAACAACATATACTTACCAACAGCCAAGAGGAGAATGCTAGCCACAAAACAACCAGCACCTACACTCAGGTAATAAACTCCTACTCGCATCTCTGCAGGCCAGAGTGGGAAGAGAGTTGCAGCTATAACGGCAGTAACTATTTAAACAAAGATAGCATAAGTATGAGAAATACTTGGAAATGTAAGCCAAAATGAGTAGCTAGAGCGCTAGAACTTTTTTAACTTTATCAACCATGTCAAGAAAACATTTCTCCTTCTGTGTTTTAGAAACCTGTGCAGTTTTATTCCACAAGGCTGGACTTGCCCATCATTTTAGGTTGTTGAAGCTTCAAAGACACAGGAAAACTTCCACTGCTTGGACTGAATCAGTTCAGAGGAATGTTAGTGGGAACTTTCTGTCACCTCTAGAAAGACTGGGTACATTGTTCCAAGCTAGTTCATGACTACATAATAGAGCATGGAGATATATGCAGCACACCTCTGATGTGCTACAGTTTTTTTGCATATAAAACCAAGGGGAAGAAATATGCCTTCATTTTCATCTGGTTTTGTTTGGCCTTTTTAATGATCCGGTTTGGACTACTAGCTTTCCGAGATCCTGTTCTCAGATCCTGAAGGTCTGCGTCATTAGCACATATAGGCAGGTTTAGCTACAGTTATTGATCTGCCCAGATGATTGTTCTGCAGTTTTGAATGTTATCGCATTTTCCAATTGTAAGCAAACTTACAAATAAAAATGTAAGAACATAGGAAAAGCCATGCAGGATCAGACCAGAGGTCCAACTAGTCCAGTACTCTGCACACATGGTGCCAAACCAACTGCTCATAGGCTCCCTCAACAGGTTGGTGCAAGACCTTCTCCTGCCCAAGCCCCTCGGCAACTGGTGTTTCCAGGCATGCCACTTGAATAAAGCTTTCAAGCAATTTGTCCAGAACAGATGTTAAGCTAACTGGCCTGTAATTTACCAGATACCTCCTGGATCCCTTTTTAAAAATTGGTGTTACAATGGCCATTCTCCAATCCTCTGGTACAAGAGCTAATTTTAGGGACATGTTAAATATTTTGGTAAGAAAGCCAACAATTTCATGCTTGAGTTCTCTGATAACTCTCAGATGGATGCCATCTGGACTGGGTGATTTGCTGTCTTTCAGTTTATCAATAAGGTTGATGAACATTTCCCATCCTCTCCTCCCACATTAAGCAGTTCTTGAACCACGTTCATCAAGAGATTTGTGCAGATTATACTTATTGCTATGTTAAGTGTTTCCTAAAATAGTTAAAGTAGTATCAATTGTTTCACTCATTAATGCTCATTCTTACTTACCAAGTATGAGTCCCATGGCAAATGTTTTAAAATGGACTGGGTCATAGATCCATACATATACCTAGAAAGAAAATGATCATGCAATTAAATTAGATTCTGAAAAACAACAATGTATGAGGAAGCTGCTTGGAGAGGATTTATTTCTCCAGCAACAGATCTTCACAGTAAGAAGGCACAGAAAAACATAAAACGATCCCTCTGGATCAGTCCAAAAACCTATTATATTCAGCCATCCTATTTCCAATTGAAAGATACTCCATTGCCTTCTAATATTTGTCAACTATTCCGGAAAAAGCGATTGTCATGATAAGTAAACCAATATGAGGGAAAATGAAAACAAAACAGGTTCTCTAGTCTTAACAGCAAACTGCTACCTTTGGGCATTCTCCAACAGCTGGGTCCCTATCCAAGGAGGCTTACAATCTGAACCACACACAGGGAAAAAACAGGAAGCAGGAATTGAAAATTCCACTGTGGTTTAGGCAACGAGTAGGTAACACGGCAGCTGAGGACACCTTTCTTGGTTCTTGTCTCCCACTGGGGAAAAAAAAACTTAATGGCAGCTGGGATTGGTTGGTTCAGAAGGTCTGATTCCATTTTCTTTTGCCATGAATGATATCTAGTCCACACATGGGACTCAAAGACATTCTTAGAAAATTCAGATGGCAGGTGGATGTTTTCATCTGCACTGTGGCCAAGACATTTTCTTAAACCACCAAATGTGTCTATTGCTCCAGTGAGAGCAAACAGTCTGCATACTTCTGCAATAAAGTACAAAGACTACAGGAGATGATCGAAATGTGAGTTTTGAAGAAGTCTTTAAAGGAAATAAGATGGTGATCGCACAGAGGTAGTCTGGGAGGTATACATTTTCAAATCCTTATCATGCACATTCTTCTCATTCTGGAGAAAACACAGAAACATCAAAATTCTATTTCAAAGCTTTCTAGTCTGATTATATAAGATTATGGTGCATTCTATAAGATTTGCTTTAATGTTTTGGTCTGGTGCTAGCCATCCTTGGAAGGGATAGCCTTAAAAAGTGGTATATAGATATTGAAATAAATGTTGAAAATGCATTAAATGAGATAAATGAATTTAACATATATGCTAACTCTTTTCATATATAGATATGTTCTTAGTATCAGCTTATCCTATTAAAATATGAAATTGACCTGTTACTCATGTGACTTTAATGTAACTCATGACTGAATTAAGTCTGTTAAGTTTATGACCCATAATACAAATGGACATGAAACGTGAAGAACCAACTGACTCAATTTTGTGATATGGGATGCATATGTCTGCAAAAACTAATTCTTAAACTTAGTCAGCTGCTAGACACCAGTGAAGAATGAATGCTGGCTTGACCTGTCCTTGTGAGAGAGAAGGGTCAGGCGACACCTGCCACAAGTAGGGTGACCCACAGGAAGGTTCCAGATCAAGTCCAGGCTTGCTGCTGCACACCCCTGGGTAGAGGGGAGTAGGATCTTCCAGCCCTGGCTTGCATCCAGCCCTAGATTATGACCCAGTCCTCCAAAACAATTCCCATTTAATTGTTGATGGCAAACTTGCAAATAATCAAATCCGCAAAGTTAAATCTGCAAAAGTGGAGGCTTGACTGTATCTCAATATATAGCTAAGAACACTAATCCCATTCCTTCCAGTGCTTTAGCTTCAGAAAGAATAGTAAAAATTAACAGCACTACTTTTCCACTCACGCCCTTACACCACTGGGAACTACAAGAATGCATTGTGCCTCCTTGCTCTCATTCCTTTTTCTCCCCTTAAGTCTCCATCACAGACAAAGCTGCAGTTAGCCACCTGGCTTTTGCTTTGTTTTAATTTTGGGAAAAGCCATTTTTTTCTGCTTGACTTGAAGAAGCTTCTCATGGGATGAGCTAAGCTCTTGTCTGCACTGAGACAGTAAAGACTGCATATCCTGAGTGTGTAGATAGGAATTGTGTGCATTAGGGGGAAGGTTTGGCTATAACCCCTTCCCATGACTGCTAGGTCTTTCTAGGTAAGATTTTATTTTTGCTAGAACGTTCAAGGATTCAAGGCCCTGCCTCTAGTGGTACAGCTCACTACTTCAGCAAGAACTATACTTTGTTGTTTGAGATGATGAACTCAAAGAGTTGAATGGGGATCATTAGTTCTTCTCTGTAATGTGGGTTGCTGCAGTACGGCAAGGGAAAAGCAGAAGTGAAAGAAAGTGTGTAATTCATCTGTGCCTGTCACTCTTCCTGGGTAATCTCAGACAGCCAGTGTGGTGTAGTGGTTAACAACACAGAGCTGGAACTCACATAGTGCGGGTTCTGGTTCCCACTCTGTCATGGAGCCAACTGAGTGACCTTGGGCCGGTCATAGACTTTCAGCCCAACCTACCTCACAGGGATGCTTTTGTGGGGATAAGACTGAGTGCAGGAGGAGAATGATGTAAGCTGCTTTGAGTTCTTTAGAAGAAAAAAGGCAGGATATAAATCTAATAAATGAATAAACAGACAAATGAATACCACATATTTCTGCCACTTGATATGGCAAGCACATGTTTAGAAACAAAACAGTGCTGGTGGGGGAAGCGCAAGGCAGAGCTAAGGACTCGTTAAGCAGACACCCACTGAATGCATCTCCCTTGCAAATTGCCTCCTACTTGGCATCAGAGAAGATGTGACCTGTTTTTTTCCACCAAATGCTTAAGTGGTCCAATGACAAACTGTGAGAATCAATGATCTGAGGTATATTAAGTTTAATGGGCAGGTCTATTTTATTGCAAAATACCTAGCTGTAGCAGGAAATTAGGCAACAGCACCTCTACTGAGCTGTCTAAAAGTTCCTGGAGTTGCTGCTACACAGCATGGTGGTCTAAGCCTCCAAATGTCTGGTACCCCCCCCCCCCCCCCCCCCCCCCCTAAAAAACACCCCCTCCCCAGCCTTGCAGCTTCTGCTGCTACAGTGAAGGGGGGGGGGGAGAGAGAGAGATGCTGCCAGACAGTCTGTGTGTTCCTTCTTCAATCACACAGGAACTGCTGCCTCTACAAGGTTGCTATTCCCTTCTCTCCTCTCCCCCACAAAAAATAGAATCCAACACAATCTTGAAGAGAAAAGGAGAGGCTGAAGTGAACTTGACCTCTTCTCTACCAGAGCTGGTGAGCTGCAATCATAAGTGCAAGTGCATAGGAATGACTTCAGTGAATCAGACCAAGGTATACTTAACCTTGGCCTGGAATTTCCATTTGTTGTTATTCTGTGATATCTGTTTCCTTTCTATTAAAATGTACTTAACTTATTCATAGATGCCTTCCTTCAAACATGGAACCATACAATGTTAGTTTTGAGCAACTGTTTATCATTCCAATATTAGGAAGTCAAGTAGAATCCAGCTGGACTAGGAGACTTCACCAACATTTTTATCATTGATAAATCTTAATGGCAGAAAATGTCAACATTTCAGCAGCAAAAAAGAACAGATAATGTACCTCATTTCCATCCAGAAAAACTTGATCTTCATGCGGCTCAAGTTTAAATTTTCTCTTTGTCTCCTTCTTCTTAGGTGTGCCAGGAGTCTCATCCTAAAGTCATAAATGGAAAAAAATTTCAAAACTCAAGAGCATATCTCTTATAGCTGGGAGACAGAAACATTCAACCTGGGCAACAAAGGAGCTTTCCCACTGTCTCCTGCTTATACTTGATGTGAAAAAGCAACCTGGGCAACAGTTGCTGGTTCCAGTCCAATTATGGTCTTTGGACTTCAATATTTGACCTTGGGACTAGATATGTCCTTAAATTTCACACTGACACCAGGTGCAAGAAGATGTTAAGTTAAATA